TGAGAGGAACAAGATGATGAAATGTTGTCTGGGCCATAGTCTGCCATGATAGGTTAATCTAGATACCTACAATACAAAAGAGCATTACACATGAATTGCCTCATTAAGGCATCAAATGTTGTAAGTAATCAAAAACAGGTACATTTATCTCTTATCTTTAAACTTCAATAATTGCAGTAGTGAAAACCGAATGTTCCAGAGAGCGGTGCCAGTCCTGACCCACCTGCATCATTGCTATGATATGGTCAAATTACTGAGCAGTAAGAGCTTGAAGGAAGGTATGTATCACAAACCATAAGAGATGTACTGGCCCACATGGCAATAATTTGATAAGATATTATTCAACCAGCATTGACAGGTGATAGCACACCATAAGCTAAGATGTAGCTGCACAAAGTGGGGTAGTTAAACGGCATGTTAAAACTGGAATTTAGACAGAATGCCCAAATGATCCACAATGCCTCCCTGAACATGGCCACGTAAAGGTAGAAGAAGGACCAGAATGTAATCTAGACTAACCTAACCTAACCAACCCTAGCCCAATTGGTGGCATCCAATATCATATTCCATGTCATATTTCCACCTTTTTCCACCTTATTAATTTTTATATTTAGTGGTCATGTTGTCATCTTACTTCCCCTTTCCTGCCCACTCCCTCAGCATCCCACAGTCAACATCCAATATCATATTGCATGTCATCTTTGTTATGCAGCAGGACATCACATTGAGTCAGGTTGTTGACTAATCAACAAAACAAGACTCCACCTTGAAAAGGCACTCACTAATATATCAAGAGATCACATTGAGCCACTTTGTTGCTTAATCAACAAGCAAAACTCCACCTCAAAAAGTCGCTCAACTAGTTGATCTGTCATGGGTGGCCTTGATGCATCAGGATTATGCCATCAGTGTGACAGACCATTTTGTATTGTGCCAGCCTGTCAACTGTGGCAGGCACATCAGTGAAGTGCTGCTACAAGGCAGGTTCAGTATTATGCCCATCAGTGTGACAGACAATTATGTATTGTGCCATCCTGTCAACTGTGGCAGGCACATCAGTGAGGTGCTGCTACAAGGGCAAGGTTCAGTATTATGCATCAGTGTGACAGACACTTATGTATTGTGCCATCCTGTCAACTGTGGCAGGCACATCAGTGAAGTGCTGCTACAAGGCAAGGTTCAGTATTATGCCATCAGTGTGACAGACAATTATGTATTGTGCCATCCTGTCAACTGTGGCAGGCTTGTCAGTGAAGTGCTGTTACAAGGCAAGGTTCAGTATTATGCCATCAGTGTGACAGACAATTATGTATTGTGCCATCCTGTCAACTGTGGCAGGCATGTCAGTGAAGTGCTGCTACAAGGCAGGGTTTAGTATTATGCCATTAGTGTGACAGACAATTATGTATTGTGCCAGCCTGTCAACTGTGGCAGGCACATCAGTGAAGTGCTGCTACAGTGCAGGGTGCAAGGCAAGCATCATTGCCTCAATGAGGTCTGGAGGGGATCTGGTATGATTTGTAAATTGGCTCTTGCAGAAGTTCAGAAAGTTGTGTTCATGGGGTCATAGATGCTCCTGGGTGAAATGGTTAGCTTAAACCTGTGTGGGGGACCTCAGAACACGTGAGGGGCACCCCCAAAGCCAGGTAAAGGGGTGCCATTGATTGTGTGTGTGGATGGTCTCCCAAACCCAGGGTGAATACCCAGATCCTAGGTAGAGAGTGCTAGTATGGGAACCTGGGATTAACAGGTGGGAAAATGGTGTCATAATGTTGTGGTGCAGTCTTTGGTATGGAGGTTCAGGAAGCAGTCTGCCCTAAAATGGCCTGAGAACACCACTACATCAGCCACAGGGTAGATGGCTACACTGCACAGGCCGTACTTGTGAACTCCCTGCTGAAGTTTCATCTGAGTTTTAGATGGAGGGACTTTGAATGACACCTCTCAGAAACCCACAGCGGCTCTTGACGAGCTGAGATCCGGCCTTTAACAAAACCTGGGGTGTGTGCCCCACATGCAGCGATTATCAGATCTGTGCTGCTTGCTCAGGTCCCAGTGTTATGTGCGGCTTTTGGCTCTTGCATGACCTGCATTTCTCTCAGTCATGTCTGACCCGCCGCTGGTGCCGCCGCCTCTGCTGAGGACCCAGGAGCCGCCGCCACCAGCACAGTCGGCCGGTCTGCCCACTGTGCCACCTCCACCCAGCCTGGGCATGGTGAGTGATCTGACCCAGACATCTGACTCTGCTCCAGTCTATCAGGTCGCCAATGTGCTCCATGGTCTGTGTTTTTTTCTTCTTTTGCTCACCACTGGGCCACCAATGTTGTTGAATTCTTCCAAGAAATCCACTCGATATATTTTTAAGATGTGCGGTTCTGTCACTCAGCGATGTGCTTGGAACCCAAAGAAGCAGTGACTGTGGCTCTCAGTAATCTATTATCCCTGTTATGAACAATGTAAGCCGCGCACCATCGCTGGATGCGCCGTGACCACGCGCCGCCACGCGCCCGTGTCACCAGCTGTCGGTCGGCGTGCCGGGGGAGTCGGAGAAGGAGCCGGCGTCCGTGCAACTGCCCGGCGTGCTCGAGCGAGCACTCAACTACAAGATCGAGCGCGCCAAGGAGGTGGGCGTCGACCCGAGCGAGATTGACCGCGTCGGTGAGTATTGGCGGCGGGGGGCCTGTCTGCGGTGGGAGGCCTGTCTGCGGCGCGGGGTCTGCCCTCGTCGGGGGTCCGCCCGCGGCCGCGGGCCCGTCTGCGGCGCGGGACCTGTCTGCGGCGCGGGATCGGGTGCCGGGACAGGCGGCTGGTCAGTGTCGGGTGATGGGGCGAGCTTTCGCTGTCCGCGTCCACCATCACCAGCACCGCGCACCTGGTGTTTCACTGCGGCGCGCGGAAGTGCAGGTTGCAACTGTGCAGACCGGTGCTGTGGGGATGTCACGTATGAGGGCGTGTGCGCCTTTCAGCCCAATGGGCAGTCTGTGGTCGCCGCCCTGGTGTGCCCACCAGGCGCCGACTGCGCGCACGTCGCCGCGTAGCGTCGCGTCCTGACGCCGGCCTGCCGCCTGCCAGTGCAGCAACGAGCGATGGCTCTCGTCGTCGGACGGGAAAAGAGCCTCCCCGAGCGAAATGACAACTTCCCGGTGTTGCAGCTGAACAGGCTAGGACCGGGGCCGGGAACGGTCGGGTTTTACGCATAATTTTATCTTTTGGTCGAAGATGTATGGACGAATTGGCGAAACCATTAGCTGTTTTCGTCACACGTGATTTCACGACGTGATTGGAAGACTGCGACGTGTAGCTCCTTCATGCGGCCGCTTCAGTGGTGCCGTCCACGCGGTTCCCGTGCTGACCTGGCGCCGCCGCCGGCAGAGGCGGAGGGCCTGGCGCTGCCGCAGGCGCCGCCGCCACCCATGATCCGCGACGAGCCGGCGGCCGTCACGCGCGAGCAGCGCGAGGAGAAGCAGAAGAAGCGCAAGGAGCTGCGCAAGAAGAAGAAAAAGAACAACAAACGGCCGCGCGCGTCGCAGCCGCTGCAGAACGGCGCCCAGAAGCCGGCCAACGACGAGCCGGATGTGGAGATCGAGTAAGGCGCCGTCGACGCTCTCCATGTGCGTCAGCAGGCATACCGTGTGCATGTGGTGACACGCGCCGTTTGCTTTCCTGTAGCATTGTGCTATTTTGCCAATGTCGGCTTACAGTTAGTAAATGGCTGAGAAAGCAGAGGACGCTGTTATGCATTATTGTGTTTTGTAATGCGTGTATTGCTTTGCACAGGTGGTGTTTAATCTCGGCTGTTTATAATGCGACTCGGATTATCGGAGGCAAGCGATTTCATGTTTGGCCACGAGATCAACCTACTTCGCGTCCGTACTCCAAGTCCCTGAAAGGCTGTAGCGCCGATTTTGGTGAAATAAGCCGAACTTACGGAGTGCGTGGTGTAAAGAAAGTATTTACCATTCGTGATCCTTTGGCTCTTCCGAGATACGACCGCTACGCCACAGCTGAGCCACACTCGACCCGGTATTGACCTTGGTCCTGACTGGACCCATCACGACCCGATCGTGACTGGACTCCGATCTTGGCCCCCACCCTCGATGCACTACGACCCTGACCCCGCATCGACCCTGACTCTGACGCGGTCCCCGCCCCTACCGCGGCTCTGACATCCGATCCTGACCCCGACCTTGACTGCCGACCCTGCCCCTGACCCTAACCTCCGACCTGATACCGGACCATGACCCCGGCCCTGACCTGATCATGACGCCGACCATGACCCATGACCCCGACCCTTACCTGGCCCTGACCCCGGTCCTGATGGACGGTTGCCCGGCAGGTACGTGTCGGACGCGCCCGAGCTGGACGTGGCCGACCCGCTGTACCGTCAGTTCGCGCACATCTTCGAGACGTTCCGCATCAGCGAGCCGACGCCGTCGGCAGCGGATGCGGGCGGCGCTTCGGCGCCGACCGCCGAGGCCGAGCAGCAGCCGCAGCAGCCGCAGGACCTCAAGAAGGTGCCCAAGCTGCTGGACGGCGACGACGACAGCGATGAGGAGGGCGAAAATGCCGACCACCCCAAGCTGTCGAAGCGCAAGCTGAAGAAGATGACGCGCATGTCGATTGCGGCGTTGAAGCAGCAGGTGGCGCGGCCGGACGTGGTGGAGATGCATGATGTCACGTCAAAGGACCCGCTGCTGCTGGTGGCGCTCAAGAGCACACGCAACTCGGTGCCTGTGCCGCGTCACTGGTGCTTCAAGAGGAAGGTGCGTGGCGCGACCTCCGGGTGTTTATCGCTGTGTGGGCATGTGCCTCAGCGTTTTCGTCTGCTGGGCCGTTTGACTCTGTTTAATGGTGGTTTTACGTGCGTCTGTTTTGAGGGGTGGCCGCTGAGAAATGAATGCTGCGGGCTTACCAAGCCAACTGACCCTGTGGATTGGGGCGTGGTGTGATCAGAACGATAGCTGAGGTGTTCAGGAAACTTCCAAGGATGGTGTATGCAGCATCTTTACAATATTTTGTGTGAAACGATTTGTGGTGCAATGGTACATCGTACAGCAACCAGTCTGTGAACATGAAAGTCGCCTTTGCAATGAAGGTGGTTCAAGTCTGTTTTCTCAGTAAGTTGTGCAACGTGAGTGCCGCTTCCCTCAGTATCTGCAAGGCAAGCGGGGTATTGAGAAGCCGCCGTTCGACCTGCCCGAGTTTATCAAGAAGACCGGCATCATGGAGATGCGGCAGGCGCTCGCCGAGAAGGAGGAAGCCAAGAACATGAAGGCCAAGATGCGAGAGAAGGTCAGGCCCAAGATGGGCAAAATTGACATCGACTACCAGAAGCTGCATGACGCGTTCTTCAAGTGAGTCGAATTGTGCATCGGAAAACAAAAGTGCGGGGTGTTTGTTTCCTGCTCGCTGACTTCGACAGTTTGTTTGATGCGATAACCTGTGTGCGTGGTGTAGCATTGATCCGCTGTGTGATGTAGCGTCGATCCGCTGTGTGGTGTAGCGACGATCCGCTGTGTGGTGTAGCGTCGATCCGCTGTGTGGTGTAGCATCGATCCGCTGTGTGGTGTAGCATCGATCCGCTGTGTGGTGTAGCATCGATCCGCTCACCTCTCGCTTGAGAGTAAATGCAAGGTTGGGATTGTGGTGAGCCTTCGCAGATGATGTGCGCCTTACCGTGCCCTTTTGGTGCTGCCAACAACGTGCTGATTGTTGTCCTGTCGCCAGATGGCAGACCAAGCCGCGTATGACCATTCACGGCGATCTGTACTACGAGGGCAAGGAGTTTGAGACTCGCCTGAAGGAGAAGAAGCCGGGGGACTTCTCCGACGACCTGCGCACGGCGCTGGGCATGCCCGTCGGAGCCAACTGCAACAAGATCCCACCGCCGTGGTTGATCGCCATGCAGAGGTCAGTTTGGGCATGCCCGTTGGAGCCAACTGCGACAAGATCCCGCCGCCGTGGCTGATCGCCATGCAGAGGTCAGTTTGGGCATGCCCGTCGGAGCCAACTGCAACAAGATCCCGCCGCCGTGGCTGATCGCCATGCAGAGGTCAGTTTGGGCATGCCCGTCGGAGCCATCTGCAACAAGATCCCGCCGCCGTGGCTGATCGCCATGCAGAGGTCAGTTTGGGCATGCCCGTCGGAGCCAACTGCAACAAGATCCCGCCGCCGTGGCTGATCGCCATGCAGAGGTCAGTCTGGGCATGCCCGTTGGAGCCAACTGCAACAAGATCCCGCCGCCGTGGCTGATCGCCATGCAGAGGTCAGTCCATCTGGGCCATTTGCAGCTGAGACAGGCTAGTTACATTTTGAAAACCATTCTCGCCAATGTGAACGGATGAGTATCATCCAGTCTCATTTTTTTCGCAGTGACAACAGCGACCCCTGTCTCGGGCCGCAGGCATGTCCTTCCCGAGCAGGACTGTTAGAAGTAATGTATATATATATATATATATATATATATATATATATATATATATATATATCGCAGTGCGGCGTATCCTGTCAGTATCTCACGGTGTGGAGGCGGCCCCACGTAACTGAGCGGCCGCTGCTTGCGCTGCTAAGTGACTCAAAGCGGCGCCGAACGCTCTTTACCGCTGCTCAGCTACCCGTGTTGCTGCGCCTCGGTCTCTGCCTCCCCCCCCCCCCCCCCCCGTCCGCCGTGCCTCTGTCTCTCCCTCCCCTCCGTCCGCTGAGCCACTGTGTCCGCCTGCCCGCCGTCCGCTGCGTCTTTATATCTGCCTTCCCTACGTCGGCTGCGCCTCTGTCTCTGCCTCCCCTCCGTCCGCTGCGTCTCTGTCTGTTCCCCCCTCCGTCCGCTGCTCCTCTGTCTCTGCCTCCCCTCCGTCCGCTGCGCCCCCGTCTCTGCCTCCCCTCCGTCCGCTGCGCCTCTGTCTCTCCCTCCCTTCCGTCCGCTGCGCCTCTGTCTCTCCCTCCCCTCCGTCCGCTGCGCCTCTGTCTCGCCCTCCTCGTCTGCTGCGCATCTGCCTCTGCCAGCTGTCATTCGCTGCGCCTCTGTTTCTACCTCCCCTCCGTCCGCTGCACGCCCTGCCCCGGCGAGCGGAGCGGGGCCGGCGCTCACCGCCTCTGTCGCCGGCCAGGTACGGGCCGCCGCCCAGCTACCCGAATCTGAAGATCGCCGGTCTGAACGCGCCCATCCCTGACGGCTGCAGCTTCGGCTACCACGCCGGCGGCTGGGGCAAGCCGCCTGTCGACGAGCACGGCAAGCCGCTCTACGGCGACGTGTTCGGCGTCCAGGGCAAGGACTTCGACGTGAGTTGACGACGAGTCGCGCTGGATGGGAAGGGGAGGGTTGAAGGTGCCGGAGTTTGCTGAGCTGATGCCGCTTTCCAGTTGTTTGTGCGTTGCTGGTGCGCTGCTGAGCTGGCGAAGTAGTCAGCAGACTACAGGCTAGCAGTCTCGGCTAGGTCTTCGGTAGTCTGGTCGGGTCGTGCGAGCACTTTTGGTCGCGGAATAATAAGACCGGGCGGTGGGCATCAACAGCGGGATGATCGGCGGTTGTGGCGCCCGCCACCGCTAGTAACCCCCATCCGCCGTGGCGTTAATTTTGTAGAGCGGACCGTCCTTTGATCCCGCAGCGTGTTGCCCGGTAAGTGCAGCCGTCAGTGTTGCCTAGGCGGTGCGTGGCTCGGTCCCCGCCCGCCAGGTGCCGTCCACGGCGGGGTCCTCTGACATCGACCCCGGCCCGTCCGCACAGGCGCCGTCCGCTGACGAGGAGGTGGAGCGCACGCTCTGGGGCGAGCTGGAGTCCGAGTCCGAGGAGTCCGAGTCCGAGGAGGAGTCGGAGGAGGAGGAGGCTGAGGGCGTGGAGGAGTCGGGCCTGGTGACACCGGCCGAAGGTCTCATCACACCCTCCGGCGTCACCAGCATCCCGGCCGGACTCGAGACGCCAGAGATGATCGAGCTGCGCAAGCGCAAGGTCGAGTCCGAGATGGAAGGGTGAGTTGGCCGCGCGCGAGCTGGGCATTCCGTGGGCGCCGCGCCGGCGGTGGGGCGGACGTGTTGGAGTCTGCGTCCGGAACCTGAGACGAGCTGAGGGATGGTGCAGGAGCAGGTTGTTGTGCGAGATCAGGCTGCAGATAGGGGGTCGATCGCCCCGCAAAGTCTGCTGGGTTCAAGCTAAAAGATATCGGTGCAGCTGGCGTGGTGTTTTCGCCTGCCCGTTATTTGTTTCGCCGTCGGTAAACGCGGAGCTTAAGACCATTTGTGACCTCATGAATTCCACGTTCGCTTCCGCCCCATCGATCGCTTTGTTATGGTGTCTTGCTGCGGTCATCAGGTGATGGGCAGCCGTTCGCCGGCGCGAGGTCACTGTAACGAGTCCGTGCCCTCCGAAACCGCTAGTCGGCCGGCGCCCGCTGCCCTGCGGCGGTCCGATCTGACGCCTGCTCCGCACCGTTGCAGCGGCGAGACGCCGGCGCTATACCAGGTGCTGCCCGAGCGGCGCAACGAGCGCGTCGGTGCCGCCATGATGGCGTCGACCCACACGTACGAGCTGCCGGGCCGGCGGCCGGCGGCCGGCGCCGGCGGCGAGGGCGTCGAGGTGGCGCTCGACCCCTCCGAACTCGACCTGGTCGACACGGACGCCATGGCGCAGCGTTACGAGGAGCGCATACGCGAGACCCAGCTGGAGAAGGAGGATCTCAGCGACATGGTGGCCGAACACGCCGCCAAACAGAAGGTGAGCGCCGGCGGCGGCGATGGAGGACGGGAGCTGGGGTGCGAGGCGGGCTCCCGGAGGGGGGGGGGGGGTGGATCGATTCGGCGCGTTTGTTAAGAGATCTGGGCCTCAACTACTCCATGATGTATGCTGGCGCCCAAGCTCTGTCCGATGTTACTGAAACAGGGACAGAGCGTGAAAGTGTACGAGACATAAGGCGATTCGAGGCTCCCGCACCCCGATTCCGCGCAAGGTCTGTTTGATATGGCGCCGCGAAAGGGACAAACTGGATCCGATCGAGGACGGCCGGAACAGACCCGCACCGGGCCCAGCCTTGAAGCCGATGGCTTGTTGTCAGGTCATGCCCATTCCCGTTGTTTACCGAATGAGTGCCGCTGACGTTTATCCCCGGTTATGATTATAGCTCGTCGAGTGAGTGGGCGCTGTTTGTTGGATAATGCATGCTTCGTTTACGTAATGGCTCTTTTGATCCTGCCGCTCCCCTGTGTGCTCTACGCGCACGATGAGTGGGAAGGCTGGAAACGCCCGGCCTCGGGGGTCGTTAAGATGTAAGCAGAAGGCGCGGCAGTGTGCGCGAAGAAGGGATGCTGTGTCGGTTGCCGTAGACGTGTGTCGGGGTCTGGATCAGACCGTCGGGGATTGGCGTCCGTTGTTGAACGGCTCCATTATGTTCCATATCCACTCGTGAGATCCAGGTCCCTGTCCGTGTGATAACCTGTCGGCGTTTGGCTAAATGCAGGGGGGGGGGGGGTCTACATGTGTCCGGACGCACCATTTCCTGCGTGAAGATATTTTCATGTGTTGAGTGACTGGCCTTCTCCTGCATGTGTTCACTGTTTCGATGTGTACTAGATAGAATTGGTGTTCGTCCTTGCCTTTAACACATCGTCTCGTTTGTCGCGTGCAGAACAAGAGGAAGCGGCAACAGCAGCAGCAGGACGACAAGAAGTCCAAGAAATACAAGGAATTCAAGTTTTGAAGCCCTGGCTGGATTCGCCTGTCTCTCCGTATCACCATCATCCCCGGCTCACGGGACACACTGGGCTGTCTCCCGGAGACGCGCTCCCTCCCCATTGCGGGCTGGGGGCTGAACTGCATATGTTGCCAATAAACCGCCTCCAAAAACGTTGGCTGGTGTGATGCGCTTGTGGTTATTGGCGCAAGGCAGTTGTCTAGGGCGTGGTGCGAGCGCAGCGCGCTGCGCCTGCGGTCAACGCTCGTCTAAAACGTGCGCACGTGTTGCTGCCACCTGAATGGCATTCAACACCAGCAGCTGTCCCGCGTGCCGACCTCGTGCACGTGTGTGGCTGTCGTCGCTAAATCCCGGTGCGCCGCTCTCGGCTGGAGAGGGGCTGCGCGGCACCGCCGGCGAGTCCGCGGCGCCCGCAAGCGCGGATATTGGGGCTCGCGGCGTGACGTGACCCAAAGGTACAGCGAGGTCGCGTGACCCAAAGATACAGCGAGGTCACGTGACCGAGAGATACAGCGACGTGACGTGAGCCAAAGATACAGCGAGGTCACGTGACCCAAAGATACAGCGACGTGACGTGAGCCAAAGATACGGCGAGGTCACGTGACCGAAAGATACAGCGACGTGACGTGAGCCAAAGATACAGCGACGTGACGTGAGCCAAGTCCAAGAGAAATGACCTATGGTGCGCTCTCCGCCGATCAACCCAGCACAGAGCCCTCCAGCTGATTTTGCGGAACTGCCCCCATGTTCGCGAATCTACGAGGTGTAAGCGTAACAAATCGCAGTCGTTTTATTCATCACTGTCAGTGGGCGTCGTGCCGCTCAAGACGGCCAGAACTGAATAGCGTGCTGTCACGTGCATGCGCTTCGTGCGGAGGCAAACGATCAACACGGCCCGGGTTGTTGGCTGGCGAAGCACTCGTGGCATGGTCGTCAAACACTCCCGCGAAACAACGTGGCGCGCGCCGCATAGCTTCGCTTCGTGTGTAGTGATAACTCGGTGACTGGATTATTATCTGGGCTGGTTTACAATGTGTCAGTCGCCACTTAGCGATGGAGGCACGACTTCTGTGGCGTTGTCGCAACCTCTGAACAGTGGGGCGCGAGGGGGACGCTTGCTAGCCGTTGCCAGTCACACGCCTCTCAGTGCTGAGCAGGAGGCCCGTGGCCGTTGTACTTGGCGAGCTCTGCCGGCGCCGCCACTCGCGGACGGCCCGGGGCGCTGGCGGACCCGAGATCGGGCGCGGCGTCTGGGGCGGCGGGCCGCTCTCGATGCTTCCGCCGCGCTACGCAGCCCGCAGCTGGCCGGCGCTCGCTCCCATCACGGCGCCAGCAAGCAGCAGCGAGACCAGCAGCAGCTCGCTCGTGACCGGCGTGGCAGCTCCGCTCCGGACTGAAATCAGGGCAGAGGCATTGCGTGACGGAAATGGTACGCGCCCGTGTTTCAGCGTGCCGGATAAGTCGCAGAACAGCTCTGATAGGGTATTTCGTTGGCGCCGTATTCCTTGTTCTGGAGAATGGTCAACGGCCAGCAAGGAGCGCTCTTTGACTCTCGATTCACCAAGCAAATAACTTTCACGTCGCTTCTGACCCAGCCCCCGCGCGCGCCGGACGCCGTGCCGCTCACCCGTGATCGTGGCTCTCCGCTGGCTCAGCACCTCGTGCCGCTGCAGCCTGCCGTCGGCGGCCACGGCGCCGCCCGCTGGCGGGGCGTCGACCAGCACGGTGGCCCGGCAGGTCAGCTCCGTGGCCCCTGACCTGACGTGCCGACCGAGAGCGGGTCACGGGTGCTGGGGTTTGACACGCAACGACGGCACCGGCCGAGAGTGGGCCATGGGTGCTGGGGTTTGACCCGACCGAGAGCGGGTCACAGGTGCTGGGGTTTGACACGCAACGACGGTACCGCTGTACTCAATGTCTGGGATGGAAACAAAGCGACCCTTTGCATGGCTGGCTGTGTGGCCGTGGGGCAGGGTCAGGCCTGCTTTTGGCAGATGCCCTTTACAAAGGCCGCGCCTTACGTAAGTATTTAGATATTAATCATGGCACTAACCGTTCGGAACTTTCGACCCAACATTCACCTCGGTAACGGATTTAGAAGCCTGATGTGAACAAAACGTCAGCAGGGGCGGATTCGCAGGGGGCCATGGGGCATGCCCCTTTCTCTCTTGGGGGTCCCCCTGAGGCTTAGGTGCTTTGAGGACGCGCCAAAATATCATGGCGAAGGGAATTAAAACCTGATCCTCTGATCCCTCCCTCTAATCTGAACCACATAATAGTTACTTTGAAGAGGCACCAAATTCCAGGGACACCACAAATGACCCGAAAGTAAGAAAGGGAGTACGACCAGAAAGTAAGTCGCGCCAGAAGTCTGCGAATGTCACCGGCTTCGCCGCTTCCTGGTACAACTACAGATTTTCAGCATCCGTGTCATGCGACGCCACTTAAATCATTACTATTTATAATTTGTGTACAATGCACTGGTTTCGCTTTTCAATCATACACTGTAGGGTCAGCAACCTACAAAGTGCAACTTACTGCTGTTTTTTTTTTGTCTCAAGTTAGCGATGGCTAGTCATTTAAACCGTGCTGTCGTACCTGACTGATGGTATTTAGGTGTACCGAAAATAATCGAAGTCGGGTACGAAATCATGCAAACATACGTACCTTTCCAAAAGGTCGAATGTCAAAACAGCCAGTGATGCCTTTTTTGCTCACGATTTTTGACGGCTCGGGCGCTGTAAATCTGCTGACTAAATTTTTATATTCATTATCTTAACTAATGCTCGCATCAAACAGTAAATAAGTTAGCATAGCAGGAAAAGGACAGTAAAAAGTAAAGACGGGCTGTGGTTAGATAGCACATCTTTTTACACACGGCAGCAGACAGCAGACCACGAGCGAAGCCGGAAATTCGAGCTGGTTTGCATCGCACAGCAAGCCACCGTCCGATGTTCTTAAGCGGGAGGGCTTCGCGTGCAATACAGGGGGCGAACAATTCGTGGCGTACGTCAGCAGTCTCATGAGATCAACGTCAACCTTGATTGTCAATCCGTAGTGTACGCGACTCGCCTGCCAGGCCGAGCTGTTTACCTGAACATGTCTGACCGTAGTGGTAGCCGCAGCCCGAGCGTAGCAGTCTCCATGCCGCTCGAGTCCACGATAGTAGGCAATCGGCTCACAAACTGGCTCTGGGCCTGCGACGGTGAGTTGGAGTTAGGAGCTCCACCGGGGAGTGAGATGCCAGACTGTCTCCTCAGACGGCCCGCGTTCCGATCAGGCAGTCGGGCAAGCCCATGGGCAGGCCAGCGTTCCGATCAGGCTGTCGAGTAAACGGATGGACAGGCACGCGTTGTGTTCCTATTCGCACAGCATATACCACAGCCGAAGGATGCCGAGGTTGCAACATCTCACACGTCCGGTTACGTAGCCGGTACGTTGCCGAAGGCCAACATTCCCTCCCACTTTGAACTTCCGGTCTCCTGAAACGACCAAGTAATTCCGCGTGAACGTTGATTTTTGAACCGGTGATACTGGCCTCCCATGCAGCTTGCTGAAAAGGGAACAAGGCAACCATACCTGGTGATTGTTGATGAGCCACTGCAATCTGGCAGCCGGCTTGGATTTGTCGGCGGTGCAGTTGAGGGAGAGGAATCCGTCGGTATTCCGTGCGCTGTCCTGGCCGAATATGAAAGGTCCCGCCTTCGGCAGGGCTGCAGGGCAGCACAGCACTGGTGACCAGCATGCGTTTGCCAGGCTACGGGTAGATATCAAGGCGTGCTTTACATCGACGGGCCCTCACAAGTCTCAGGCAATGACATCCGTATGACAATGACATCAAACAATGACAAACAATGACATCCTTTGACATATTTGGAGCAACGCGTATGACGCGTATGACAGCGTTGCCCCAAATATGTCAAAGCATGTCATTGTTTGTCATTGTTTGATGTCATTGTCATACTTTTGGGGCATTTTTTTGTTTTCGGGCATTTGGGGTTCGTGACATTTTTGTGTCCGAAACTCAGAACTTGGTCGCCATTTCACCAGTTACTACTATGACGAAATATTGCCAAAAACCGCAATCATGCCGGTGCATTTACGATCGCCCGGTGTCCACTCAACTGCGATTAATTTGGCATCGGTTCAACTAACACGCTGCACAAAGATGCCGACGTGTTCAAACCACCACGGCGCCATGTTGCACGGCTATACCGTCGGACTAGCTCACCTACGACCATCATGGTGGCGCCGTCGGAGAAGGTGTGGAAGGTGGGAGCCTCGTCCGACACCTGGCACTGGAAGTGGCCCGTGCTGTTCAGCTCGAGCGAGCCCAGACTGACCCGGCGCTCGTCAGAAGCGGCTGTCTGCCAGCAGAGTCAGAAGCGGCTGTCTGCCAGCAGAGTCAGAAGCGGCTGTCTGCCAGCAGAGTCGCCACACTCTGTGCTGTTGCGATACCGCGGCACAGACTGGCATTCGCAGCCAGCTCCAAACCGATGGCATTGGCTTGATAGGGCGTGGTGTGGCTGTGCTATGACGTCAGGCCATAGCACTGCTCATAATATGGTATTGGTCAGCTTATAATATTAGTCGACCATCACATCCAAGATGATGCGTGATGAAATAGGCAGATGTCAAATAACCAACGGCGTTGTTTTCCGGGCTAACCGTATGCAAGGCAAGAGGCCTCAATGCCACCTTTCAAGGTCTGAATAAAGGCCAAATGACGGGGAACGCCATAGCGAGCAAACTTCAAGGCCCAATCGGGCATTTTGAGCCCCAAACGTGGTTTGTCACCCGAACTAACTTCCTTGAAGGAAAATCAAACTTTCAATGTGACCTTTAACATCTAAAACAAGATTAAATGACGGAGGAAATCATAGCGATGGAGCTGTGAAACCCCATCGGGCGTTCTAAGCACTAAAACGTAGATCATCACCAAAAGAAACATCTATCAAGGTAACCCAGACTTTCCAGATCACCCTTTGTGGTGACCTGGAGAGCACCTAAAGGTGGTCTTGAATGTGACGGTGTTGGTGCTTGCAACGCCCCGCTGGGTCTTATACTTTGCTTGTTATCGCGTTCCCCACCATTTGATCTTGAGATCCTGAAGAATTACCTTACGAGTAAAGATAATCTTGACGGACGTTAGTT